CTAACGTTGTGCCACCGTGCTGTTATCTATAACACTGGAAAAAAATGTTAGAATATGATAAAAGGCATGGGTTGGAGTATTTAAGACGGCCCTAAAAACCATCTGTTGAGCTCTGCACTTTCACCACTGCAGATCCACATCAGCAGCATCTTTGCCAGCAACATCTGCCATCATGGTGGATAACATGGAGCCCAGTGTGAGTGTCATGGACGTGTGCTTAGCTCCATGGTTTTCGGTTCCTAAGCCCGAGTTCTTATTGCCTTTTTGACTAGTGAACAACAACTGCGGTTAACATCCCAAACTCTGTTTTGCAGGCATGCCCAACATGCTTTCAAATGATATATAGCTCTACTGGAGTAGCAAGTTATCCTGCTATGATTATTTTACTGGCTGCACTCTTGCTACATTTGTGTTCTCAGTTTTGTGGCAGATGTGCATGGCACAACATTACATGTAGGATTTAACTGTGTATTTATTCACGAACGGTCACGACAGCAGGTAGCTCTGCGTGTTTGATTTGGCAGACGCCTTCCTGATGCAACCCCAAATTGATTTCTTCTCCTGGGACCAAACTGGAAGGTCTTGCTGGTAAAGTGAATGTGTAAACCACTACAGTATAGAGCCGCTGTGCTCCAGACCGAATCAACCTTCTACACTCGACTACAGTGATTTTTATTGCAGGAGAAGAGGATAAGTTGGTGAATGAGAGGAGAGAGGAGAGAGGAATAATGGCACAGAGATTGGAGCAGAGGTCATGTGGGAGAAAAAAAGAGCGATAATATGAAGACAATGGATGGAAAGAACAAAAGAACAGAAAGGATTATAAAATAAGTGGCTTAGAAAGGGAGAGAAAAACAGGAGCGAGTAATAAATGGGAGAAGGGGAATGAAAAATTTGATATTTCTGTTACTGATCAGCGGCAGCAAGGAGGGGGTGGGCTGGGTTTGGAAGTGGTGCTGGAGTGTGTGTGTGTGTGTGTGTGTGTGTGTGTGTGTGTGTGTGTGTGTGTGTGTGTGTGTGTGTGTGTTTGGGGAGATTTTGACAACCATAAGCTCAGAGCAGCACGTGGTTGAGTGAAGAGACCCCTGGGAGCTCTGTGAAGAAACACATCAAACTTAAGGATCTAGTTACATTTGTGTGTGTGTGTGTGTGTGTGTGTGTGTGTGTGTGTGTGTGTGTGTGTTATTTTAGTGTCTCGTCACCCTTTCTGGAGTACATCATTAACTAGCAAAGGAGAAAAATCACCGATGAAATAACTAATGAGTAATTCTTCTTGCCTTAGATTTTCTTTGCAGACAAAAACTTCGAGGTGGCTGCTGAGGTTTGAGGTTTGCTTCTTCGAATAATGACTGAAGTGTTTGCATTTGGTTCATTGTGTTTTCAATGTCTTCGAACACGTTTTAGTGTAAAGAGAACCGACCATCACATCACAATTCAGTGAGCTGCTCTGAATGCAAACCCAAACAGAACAAGTAGAAAAAATGAGATTTTTGCCACAGTGTTGATAAATTGAGAGGTCAGTCTGTGTAACATGTTTCCTCCCATTCCAAGATCTCAGGTCAAAACAACTGCATCTCTTGATTCCCCATGTAAAACCACACAGAGGTGACAGATAGACAAATTGTGTGCATCAACTCACAACCAACTCTCTTAAAAGAGCAATTTATCACATTTATTCGCTCCCCATAAAAGCACGTCGCAGCTTCCGTACACAGACTCCCTCTGCCTGCGCGAAGCCGTCAGCCATTTACATTTACTCGTGTTAGTCGAGTGAAGAAAATCCAATATTTCAGCGAAAGAAAAAAAAAGGCCGAATGTTGCAGGGTTACAAATTTTATAATAATTACAATAATTTACAAAAATGAAAACATTAACATAACTTAGCTGAAGGCTGAAACTGGCGGTTATCTTTTTTAATTAGTCACTTTACCTGATTATTAGCCAGTTAATGAAAACTCCAATTGTTGACTAATTGTCGTTGCATCCCTGATCAGTATTCTTCTGTGATATGTGACATTAGCAAGAAGAGGTTAATGACTTAAAGACAGGAAACCAATGCACACATGTGCTCACTGACTCATATGAAGCATTTGAGCTCCAGGTTTTGTAACGCTGCAGATATGATTAATAAAAGGAGATTTTGAAGATCCAACCAGCAAGTCGAAGCTTCGAATTTGTCCTTTGTTAAATTGACACTTTCGTCTTTTTTTCACATCCACGAGCATCACTCGACAGATGAGTCAAGTTAAAAATAAACCCAGTCTAGACGAGTTTTGTACAGAAGACATTTTCATCCAGGGGTAGCCATTAATTTGTGCAAAGATAAACTTCTGATGCCATTTCATTAATTCTGTTTCTCCTTCTGGAATCAGTGAGTTGGAATAAACCGGAGGAGTGATTGAAGCCAGGCACGCCGGGGAGTTGAAGGAGACAGACAGACAGAGAGAAAAGAGAGACTGAGGGGGGGTGAGGGTGAAACCGCAGTTTTTATACGTTGTCTGGTTTTAATTTGGTAAGAGCCATCATTCACCAGTTCACTGAGGTGGCAAACCAGATGAGTGCGTGCTTCTGGAGCGTGTGTTTCTTTACAGTCATGGACACTGAGATCTGCTTCTACAAATCTTAAAACCATCTGACACTTTGTTATTTATTATTTGTCTTGCTAATATTTCTTTAGTCCTCAGCCATTTTCAAGGAATAGCTTGGGAAATGTGCTCATTCTCCTCTGGCGTAGAGGAGAGGTTACACTTTAGCAGGTCAGGCTGGATGTGCAGGGAGGCTGGAAACAGCTAGCATGGTGTAGGTAATGAAGTGAGATTGCCAACACGTCTAATGCTCATTAACCATCTCTCAGTGAGTTTGAGCAACAATTTGCTGCTCTGTGAGTCGTTCTGGAGCTCAGGAACGAAAAAGACACTCCTCTGTGCCAGAAAGAGTCGGTAATGGATTGTGCATGAATTACAGCAGATGTTGTCATATCTGCAGGTGTAGGTGTGTGGCAGGCAGTGTTATGGACCCAAAACGCAGGACTCAGCAACGCAGAACTGAACTAAAAATCACAGCGTCAATGCTGAAAAAACAGGCAACAAAAACAACAACATAACGTCACAAAACAAAATAAACTGACTCACTGACAGAGAGGGAAACCAAACAGTCGGAACCACTACTTACAATAAGGGAGTGACAATACAGTCCCGATCTGATGTTTAAGAACAATTGAAAAATGTCAGAAAATCCTATTTTGCATGGTTGGATCTTAACAGGGTTCCAAGTCGAGCTTCAACATGCAGCAAGAAGAAATGGGAGTGAGACAAAACATGTTTTTGAGCAATTTATTAAAAACAACTGTTAAACTGAAACAGGCTGATCTAAGGCTGATCAACAGTTTAGGACCAGTTGACCTTTAAAAGGTGAATCTGTGGATTCATTGTCCTTTTCTGTCAAGTAGTCACACTTTAATGATGGCAAAGGCAAAAACTTTCCCTTTTTTAAACGTGATCGGGTTGTTGAACTGCATGAGCAGGATCTCTCACAGCACGCCATTGCTGCTGAGGTGGGACGCCGTAAGACGGTCATTTGGAATTTCTTAAATGATCCTGAGGGTTATGGAACAAAAACTCAAGTGGAAGATGCAAAAAATGTCACCAACACTGAGCCGAAGCATCCAATCGGCTGTCCGTCAAGACACTGGACGATCCTCGACCCACATTAAGGCCGTTTCTGGTGCCGACTGCAACCCCGTAACCATCAGACGCATCTGAGACGGAAGGGCTTCAAAAACAAAAAAATTTCTTCAAAGGCCTCGTCTCCTTGAACGCCACAGAACTGACCATTTCGACTTTGCAAGCGAGCACCAAGCATGGGACACTGAAAGGTGTCTAACGAGAACAAATGTAACCTTGATGGTCCTGATGGTTTCCAACGTTACCAGCATGACAAGCAGATCCCACCTGAGATGTTTTCTACGCTCCACAGTGGAGGGGGCGCCATAATGATCTGGGGTGCTTTTTCCTTCAGTGGAACAACGGAGCTTCAGGAGGTGCAGGGGCTTCAAACGGCAGCTGGCTGTGTCCAGATGTTGCAAAGAGCATCCCTCATGACTGAGGGCCCTCATCTTTGTGGTAACGACTGGGTTATTCAACAGGACAACACTACAGTAAATATCGCCATAAAGGACAAGGCACTTCTTCCAGGAGAGTAACATCACTCTTTTGGACCATCCTGCATGTTCCCCTGATATAAATCCAATTGAGAACCTTTGGGGATGGATGGCAAGGGAAGTTTACAGAAATGGACAACAGTTCCAGACAGTAGACGCCCTTCCCCTTTCTCCTTGTTGCATATTGAAGCTCTACTTGGAACCTTGTTAAGATCCAACCATGCAAAACGATGCATTTTTTGCCATTTTAAACTTTTGGTTGAGACTACATATACACACAAAGGATAACGAACGGGAACGGGTCACAGGTGGGAACACAGCTGACACTAATCAGATTGACACACGAGACAGAGACTTTGAAACTAACAACAAGATGGAGACATGCAAACTTGACACGAGGACTGGGAGTAACCCGACAAGGGGACACAAAACACGAGGGGATAAGAGATAAACAGATACGAAGACAAGAGTGACTAAACATGAAACGTGGAACACGGGGGAGGCGGAAAAAGAACCATAAAGGCTAGATGACAAAACCAAGATCAGAGATGCAACAATAAGAACCAAAACCAGGAACGTCAGCTGAATTTTAGGATATTAAATAAACCAGAATCAAATGGTCCAAATACATAAACCCTGCATCACGGAAACATTACAGATGTTTAATTTGAATCTTTACAGGTGTTAGCAGGTTAGATTTGGATGGAGCCTCCAGCTTTTGTGCTGAGCAGGAATCTACATGAATGTGCTAAAATGCTGAAATGTGCCTCGTGCATATTTTCTTATTTTATTAATTTTTTGTTTTTTTCTGTTTTCTTCCATTGTGTTGGGTTATGTGTAGTGCCTTCAGCCATGCAAAGAACTGTGGGAAACCAGGAAGGTGGCATCTCCAAAGTCTTGCGAGGTAAGACGGAAACAGTGCGTGGCGTTTTTGTGCTCTTGTGCAAGTCTCGGCAGCCTCGGTGGCATTGTCGTTCTTTGCAGACGCACGCTTTTGTTGGCACCACAAAGCTGTTTTGACCTTGTGCAATAAATGAGCGTTTGTGTGTGTTTTTATAAAGCTTTGTGCACTTCTAGTATACATGGGACACTGTGCAACAGTTTTATGTGCATTTTGTGTGAGTGTGTGTGGCCTGTTTATTTGTAAAGCCGGTTTCTGTGGCTTTCTGAGAGATTAGTTTTTCATCACAATAGCTGAAGCGTGTTACTCGCGGGATGGCTGATTGGCTCGCTGGTTATGAACACAGGGTAATTCAGAGCTATTAGTGAAAGCTTGTGTTTACATTTTCCTGATCTACAGCTGTCTGCACAAACAGAGAAATGCGCACATGCACGCACACGCACGCACACGCACACACACGTAGCTTTTTGGACCAGCCTTTAAACAGACAGTAGGAGTATACCACAGGAAGCGCTTTCACCTTTACTGTGTGTTTTTGTGGCCTCGTGTGTGTTCCTATACACTGTGTGTTATTTCTGTGATGTGTCAACTGTAATAATAATTACACCCACCGTGCTTTACTCTCAGAAGCAGACAGAGTGTGTGACAAGCAGGGAGTTTCTGGCCTCGTTAAGGTCGTCTCGTCAGGGAGACTGCCCTCCGCCTCAGCGAGCCACAGGATTTGCCGCGGCCTGCGTGGAGAGCTGCTCGTCAGACCAGCACTGCCCCTCCCCCAGGAAGTGCTGCTCCAATAGCTGTGGACATACTTGCCAAGCCCCAGCCAATCTGTACAAAGGTAAAGGCAACTTTTGGAGTTTGTGTGAAGCATAATGTGGTAGCTGTTACTGATCGTCCTATCAAGTGGTTTTGATAGATAGACTGTAAATGAGTAATTAGACCCCAGTTATTAGACTTAATAAGGCAAAATGCATCACAGTGTGTGTCTAAGTCGTCCTGGGAACTCCCATAACTGTCCAAATGTTTCTGTGTCATCTAATTGTAATGTCAGTATGTTACTAGTCAAGTGAGTTATACTGATGTGTAACAACAAGCTTGTAACCTGGTCTGTCCTCGCAGGTGTCCCTCTGAAGCCTCGAAGAGACATTAGCTTTTTGGAAGACTCGGAGGGTCGTGTGAAGGTGATGTGGGTGTCGAAGTTCAATGTCAGCGTGGAGCCCGTCGTTTACATACTCCAGTCCCGCTGGAACATCGGCATTCACCCCAGTGAAGACCACGCCTCTCCATGGGCTACTGTAGCCATGGTAAATGGTTAATAGTCACTTTCCATGTGCTAATTAAGTAGTGAGAAAACTGATATTTACATAACAATTAAGAAGTAAACTTATCATAGACTAAGGAGGGGACTTGTCCTAATGTTTGTGTCTGTTATTGGGGGTTGTTACATGATGTGATGATTATTGATGATTATTTGGGACAGTTGTAGAGTCATTCGGCTGTGAAACTGGCTCTCTGTGCCTTTAAAAGTGGAGCCGCCCCACAAAGTTTGTAACATATCTTTACCTCATAACTCTCAATTTGCCTTGGATGATGAAACTTCTCAGCTATGGAGATGGATGTTAGACTTAGTTTCCACCTCATCAGTCTGCTGCCTTGCTGTCTAAACCTCTCCACCCCAGTCAGTCTCCCATTCTGCCAGGGTAAACG